GGCTGTCCCCCAATGAGGAGAAGGCAACTATTTTTAAAACAAGGATGACAGGGGCCATGCCGGAACGACCAGCACGGTGTCTGATCTGACACCGGGTGGGATGGCCTTACTGCCTTCAGGTCAGGGAACCCCCAATCGGGGACACTGGCCCGGGGACAGTCGTTAGCAGAGGGACCGAGCATCATCACATCGATATTCGGATTACAATTTTAGAAAAACACAGAAAAACGGAAAAAAAAAGGACTTTCCGGGACGGGCATCGCCTTTCTACAAGGCCTAGATGCACCTGACCGCAATTATGTTTGTAGAGAACTGGAAAGCCCTGCGCAAAACAGAAACGCGGAATAAGGAGCCCACGAGCATGTGGGAGGACCCTCCTCAGGGCGTAGCTGTCAACGTGGAATAAGGAGCCCACAAACATGTAGGAAGAGCCTCAGGGCCTTGCTGTCACGGCTCGTCATCCGCCAAAATTTTGAATCTTGAATGCATCAGGACTTTGCCTCGCCACACTACTCCCCACTTGGCCATTTTCGGGAGTGCAGCATCGCCACACCAGCTCCCCAGTTCAAGCTGTCAGATTGAATTCGGGAGCTGTCAGAATGTGCCTCCCGAGAGCACTCCCGAACTCACCGCCTGCAAAGCTTTTTTTTCGAGAGAGGGCCTCTTTAGACACTCCTTACGAGTTCCTTGAGCCACAAGGAAATGTCCTTGTGGTTTTTTAGGGGAATTTGCGGCGGCGTTCCACTCATCCTTGGGCACCTCCCCCGAGGATGTTTCCTTGTGGCTTCCCCGCGGGCATTTTCATACGTAAATTAGCGGCCGCGGGGTCGGTCGTCCTTGGTCCAGCTTCTTTTGTCCGTGTGGAGGCGGCGTGGTCCAGCGATGCAAGGCGGGAAACGGCAGACGGCGGGCGACGCGAAAATAAATTTAACCCCAAGGGCGTGGGCATTTGAAATTCAAAATTCGGATGACTGCTGCGACGACGACGACGACGTGTGGCTGGCAGCGTGAGGACGGCGTTCTGCGGAAAGGGGCTCTAATGGTGGCGGAGGTTCCGTCCCGAGGCCATTGCGAGTGCACGGGCATCGTGTGGTGCGTCCATCGCCGTGGACCTTTGCACACGTCGACTGCGCCTTGCTCCTCGTTTCCGTGCGCGGGACTGTAAGCAGAGAAAAGGGGCCACCTTTCGACGGACGTCTTCGGCTTCTTCGTCGGGTGCGGAAGGACGACACAGACGGCAGCGGAAAGACAGGACCGTGTCCACATCGCGACTATGGAGGGCGGCGCAGAGGGTAGACGTGATGTGTTGACGCCTCCTGAGCTGCAGGCCGTGCCGGCAGCCGTGTCCACGATTGTTCTTCGATGTCAGCAGGAGAGGGCGCTGGGGCGACTAAAGGAGCAGTTGCGTGCACGTAGACGGAGGACATTGACCTAAGCTCCGGACAATGGGGCCGAATACGTGGTGACGTCGGAGGCTGTTGTTCGGGTGTGCTACGCGTTGGGTTGCGGAGTAATTCCTCGTGCGATGCCGCGGTGGTGGGTGAAGCGCAGGACAGGAGGCACGTGGAAGAAGACAACGACGTGGAGCAGCAGAGGCAGCACGTGCAGCAGCACGACGAAGCGCACATGGAAGCGCGACGAAACACACGTGAAAGAAGACAACGACGAGAAGCAGCATGACGACGAGGACCAGCAGAGGCAGCCTGTGCAGCAGGTCGGCCATGTAAGGGTCGTTCAAAGGGCAACAAACCGACGACAGCGGTCGACCGTCCAACGAACAAGCCCGTGGACACAAGAAAGATTGGTGGAAGATCTGTGCTTCAACGTGCGGGCCGTGACAACAAATGAAGAAAACGACGATCTTCTGCAATGAAACTGTTTTTTTTTTTTTTTTGGAGAACCACATAAGCATTTATTACTCAAGGTCAAAAGAGACGGGGCCGGGAAACCCCACAACAATCCCGAGAAAAATTGGGGCCATTACCCAGATTGGCTCCAGGAAACCGGGTCCACTGTCCCCTTTGGCCAAAAGAAATCAGCTCCCCAAAATGAAAAAAAGTGGAAGACTCCAACACCCATACCATATTTTACTCAGAAAATTTACTGACCTCAACCCCTTCCTAGAGTGGTTAAACAGGGCTCTATGGTGGGGAGCTAAAGCGCTCCCCATGCCCCTGAGGGGACAACAACCAATGACAAAACAGCAACCTACCATTAGAGTCCAGTTTAACCATACTATAATTCTTTCCCCAAGTGTCCCAAAACCACTTCTTGGACTTTTGAGTGTCTGGAGCCTTGTGTCTGATGCAGTCACTTCGAATTGTAATTCTGTCTGCTGAGTCACCAGCATCTTTGTCTGAACATCCGTAGTCCCAGTTGACCTGAACAGCATGTTGTTTCGATCATCCCATATTATCTTCAAAATAATTGCCCTCAAGCATTGGGCTACGTACAACTATTCCTGCTCTGCCGATTTCTCTTTATTGTGAGTGTCTGAGATTATCCATTCATCCGACCATTCAAAGGACTTTGTCGTTAGTTTTTCCCAATGTGCAATCCACCGGTCCCAAATTCTTCGTGAAGCTGGACATGTAAGCCATAGGTGCCTGTTTGTCTCCCAAGGCCAGCGACAACGAGCACATATTGTTGAGATTGGCATTCCCCTAGCTGCTAAATTAACCGCTGAGGCTGTGGCCAAAAAGGTTTGGAGCCATACAATACTTGCAAGTTTTTGGGAGGGCATCGCCTTATATTGTCGCCACAGGGAAGTTAATTGATCCTCAAAAATCATCAGTAGATCCCCTTCTGCTCTGCGCTTAGCTACTGATACTGCAGGAGATTTGGCAACCTTTGCTCTCTGAACTGATACTCCCACCTTGGCTTTGTAGTTTGCCATACTGATCTTTTCTGCTCCGGTCCACTAAACTATCCCAGGGCACGCGTATCCACCGCCGCTTCTGCTAGTGGGAGTAGTCCCATTGGTAATTCAGCAGACCAAATAGTTCCCTTTGCCTCATCAATTCTTTTGAGGTGAGGCTGAACTACTATTTCCACTAAGCTATTAATCTCGAACAATCGCACTAACTTTTGTCATGGGATTAGCTCCTTGGTAAAATTTATCGAACTATCTATTTGCCGTTCCCTTGCTAGCCAACCTTCTTCTCCCAAATCCTGAGTGACGTGATATACCACTGGTGGTTGAGAGGATCTTGAAATGCCCCATAGGCCAGCTGCTGGGATACCCTCCTTAATCAAAATCTGGACCCATGAATATGGAATCGCCTGTTGAACAGCTGTCAACCTGTTCTTAACATCTCCGAGTCTCCCTAATCTGAGCTTTACTTGGTCCAATGGTTTCCACATCCCTTTCGTCTCATCCCACAAGTCTTTCAATCTTACCACGCCCCGTTCTACCCAGGATTTCCCAAAAATGTCTGGAGAGTCGTGAGCAGAGAAAGTCTTTCCCTATTTATCTACTATGAGCGGTTTTTCAAAAATAATTTGATTTAAAACCGCTTCCCTGGTAGTTGGACCTTCTCTGTCCGTTGGAAACACCTTTTTCCAAACATGCAAAATATCCTTCCAAAATTTTGACTTTGGCTGTTTATTAACATATGAGCGTATCTGTAGGCAGGCCAAAACATCTTCATCACGACATAATGACCGTTCCCCTCGACGAAGTTGGACCTAGACAGACCGATAAATCCGGAAGAACTCCATCGGGCGGCAAAACAAATGGCCACAGGTAAGTGCCCCGACGATGATGGTCTCCCAATCGAACTATATCTGGTCGCTTGGGAAGCAATCAGCCCCCGCCTACTGAGAATCTACAATGCGGTCCTCACGGGTGAACGACTTACTAGAGGTATGATGAAAGGGATCATAATGTTGTTGTACAAAAAAGGAGAAAAGACTGATGTGCGCAACTGGAAACCGATATCGGTCCTCAATGTGTCTTACAAACTTCTGGCAAAGGTTCTAGCAATTCGACTAGCTAGATACCTTCCTTCTCTAATAGGAAGTGAGCAAGGGGCTTTTGTGAAATACAGGTCTATCTTAGATAATATTGCAGCTACTATTCAAGCACTAGAAATTATTGCAAAAGAGAATAGGGATGTCGCAATAATTCTACTAGATATGGAGAAAGCGTATGATACAGTGGGATGGGTTTTTGTGATGACTACGCTGAAACATATGAACTTCGGTCCAAATTTTTATAGATGGGTATCAGTT